TGGGTCTCACCTTAAGTCTTACACCCTAGCTATCTTTTTACATTCTGTAATCTGTTTTAATTCACCTTAACAAGCAAACAAAAGTCTTCAAAATCGTCATCTGAAATCATCTTTTTCATTGGACTCTAATTCAACTTTGGCAACAATCTCCGTGGACGATATTCCGGTACTTGTACCACTTTATTACTTGGAAAGACGACATTGGCCGTATTGTATACTTGCTTTGTGGCTCAATTTCATTAGTCTAAAGGTGTGAAATATAACCCCACCACTTGTCTCGGCCAAGATGCCCACTTAGGCCTCCTCCATGTAAGTCTCTAATCAACTGTTCACGTAGAGAAGAGTTAGGAATACACAATTGATTACCTTTAAAGGGATACTCGTCGTTGAGGTAGCAATCGTCCACCGGTATGCCTTTCCCGTATTTGGACCATGTTTCTTTAAAGTCGCAATCTTCCTCGTATTGGTCTTTTAAGCTTTCGAAACCAATAATTTCTTAGGCGAGCATGACCATTAGTGTGGCTCTCCGACTTAGGCATCCGCTACTCGGTTTAGGACTCCCGCTTTGTGTTTGATCACAAAGGGGAATTTCTGCAAATAGCTCAACCATCGTGCGTGCATCTTACTTACCGTCTTTTGACTGCTGATGAACTTCAAGGCTTGGTGGTCAGTGAATAGCACGAACTCCTTTTGTACGAGATAGTGCTCCCACTGTTTTAGAGCTTGAAAGACAACATAGAACTCTTGATCGTAAGTGCTCCACTTTTGTCTTGCCTCGCTTAACTTCTCACTGAAAAACGTTATCGATCGTTTTTCTTGCGATAAAATCGCTCCGACTCCTACTCCGCTGGCATTGCATTTCACTTCAAATACCTTGTCGAAATTGGGAAGTGCAAGTACTGGCGTGGCACTGAGTTTGGCTTTGATTACAGTGAAACTGCGATCTTGATCGGGTCCCCATTGAAATTTTCCTTTCTTTAAGCATTCAGTAATGGGGGTGGTGGTTGTACTAAAGTCTTTAACAAACCTTCAGTAAAATGTTTCTAGACCGTGGAAGCTTCATACATCCGAGACGTTTTGGGGAGTAGGCCATTCTTTGATTGTACGTACATTTTCTTCATCTACTTCGATACATGCTTCTCCGACAATAAAACCCAAAAACAGAAGTTTATGGGTGCAAAAAGTGCACTTCTTGAGGTTGACATAAAGCTTGCTTTCCTGAAGTACAGACAAAACTTTGGAAGATGCGTTAAGTGGTCTTCCTTGCTACGGCTGTAGATGAGCATCTCGTCAAAATACACAACAACGAAAGATCCGATGAAGGGTTTGAGGACTTGTTTCATCTTCCTCATGAAGGTTCTTGGAGCGTTGGAGGTGCCGAATGACATTAGAAGCCATTCGTATAAATTGAAAGGCGTTTTGAACGCCGCCTTCCATTCATCAACGTGTCGGATTCAGATTTGGTGGTAGCCGCTACGGAGATCGATCTTCGAAAACAACTTAGCTCCGGCTAACTCATCAAGCATATCCTCTAGGCAAGGGATCGGGAACCAATACTTGATGGTAATTTTGTTTATGGTGCGGCTATCGATGCACATCCTCCACTGATTTTTCTTCTTCGGTACCTAGAGAACGGGCACGGTGCAAGGGCTTAAGCTTTCATGGATGAAACCCTTTCGTAGGAGATCTTCGACTTGCTCCCTTAAGATTTCATTCTCTTTTGGGCTCATGCGGTAGTGAGGGAGGTTCGGTAGGTTGGCACCGGGAATCAGATCGATCTGGTGTTGGATGTCCCTCATGGGAGGTAGCTCGGGTGGTAAGTCATCGACGGTGAGCTCTTTGAAGTCCTTGAGTATCCCGCTCACTTCTTCCGAAATTCCCTCTCCAATCAATTCGACGTTCCCCAAGCCCTTTACAACGATCAGAAAAAAGACTTGGGTTTCTTTGAACGATTTTTCAAGAATCTACTCGATCGAGGTGATGATCAGAAAGTTCTCACCTTTCTTTTCCGGGGTGTGGTTGAAGTGAGTAACGAGTTCTATAGCGATCTTGTGTTCTCCCCATCGGAAGATCATGATGTTGTCTCTTCCCCGATACGTGACATTGTTGTCGTATTGCCATGGCCGATCGAGTAGAATATGGCAAGCGTCCATCTCGACGACATCACAAGTAATTTCTTCCTTGTGATGTTTATCGATGGAGAGTGGAACCTTACATACCTGGGTGATGCGGACTTGAGGGCCTTTCTTTACCCATTCGAGCGAGTATGGTGAATCTTGCGGTTGAGTCGATAGACTGAGATGATCTACTAACTTTTGGGACACCAAGTTTTCATAACTTCCGTTGTCTACAATCAAGTTACAGACTTTACGGTTGATAGAGCCATAGGTACGAAAAGAT